AAACGTACTTACAGGCTGTGAGTCAGAAGCGCCAGACTGTCCTTGCAAAGTTGGAACTGCCCCACTTTATAGAAACATTATGTCCTCTTTTGGAAGGACAAACAAAGTAGTTTCGCTTTCACAACGAAATACACAGCGGCTTGAGTGAGTGGCGCCCGGCTGATTCGACAAAGGAGGTAGATATGTGGGGGCGTGTTTAAACGAGTCGTTTTAGGAGGCCATGGACAAGTCTTAACTTTTATAAAGAATATCTCTTTGGACAAACATAAAATGTTCCAAACATATTTCTAAATTAACTTGATAAAGAAACAAAAAGAAATATGACCACTTTGCCATTAAAAAAACTAACTGAACTATTTTAATAGCTGTGTAATGGGGAAGAGACAGAGAAAAAAGTCACGGTATCCAGTCGGACTCGGGCCGAGAATTCTCATAAGCTGTTGGCTGTTGGACAAGGGCCGGGCCCATGGGCGCTATTCGTTCCTTCATTTCAATTAAAAGTTCCCCCCCAGATCGGCGGGCCCCCAAACTGCCCAGGCCCATATGCACCTGCATGCCCAGACGCTACGCCACTGCTACCTCTATTCATGTGTTTTTTCACACACATTTCAAGAAAAACATCAAACATACGCGGAATAGAAACAATGTAATGACTGTTTTTTTCCAGAAAAGAGTAAAAAACAAGTCAAGACAACTATGCAAGTGTTGTTAAACAATTTAAAAACTAGTTAGAGTTTGACAAAGTTAAAGAAAAAGAAAAAGAGTTGAGCATCTTGCTTCGATCTAAAACAAAAAAGTATCAGACACGTTCGTTAAACAATACGGCAGTTTTTCCTATGTTACAATTTTTTAAAAGTTAGAGTTTGTTACAAGTTAGAAAATAAAATAAAAAATGCTGACTATCTTACCATGATCTAAAACAAAAAAATATCAGACCGTTAAGCAACAGCAAAGCCCAGTAGTCAAAATATATGTTGTACTCTACCATTAGCTACAATTTAAAAAGGCTACACCTTGTCACTGACAGAGAGTTAAACAAAAGAAAATAAAAAGAGTCGTGCATCTTACGCCGATCTAAAAAAAAAAAATAAAGTACCAGATACGTTCGTTAAGCAGCAGCATATACTTGTCAAAATCTATGTTGTAGTCTACCATTACAATTTTAGGAAAGCTAGCGTTTGTTACAAGTTAGAAAAGAGAAAGAACCGCGCATCTTATACATCCTCACACAGCGCTGACAAACTCTGAATTAAGTTACGAGCGCAGCGGTCAAACCACACCCACTACCGCCCCTAACACCGGAGGAGAGACCAACGTAAAGATAGATTTAAATGTATAGAATTAAACAAAGTAATGTTTTTAATAAATGTAAATTTTTAAAATAAATTTAAATAAATGCCACCTAAGCCACATGAAAAAATGTTGTTTGTTTTGTTTTATTTTATTTTAGTTTAGTTATTCACACTTAATTTAGTCATTCCTTTATTTACTCTTTGGTTTTTGTCAAGCTTAAAGAGCAGGTCATATGGTATTTTAAAGTGTCCTAATATTGTGTTGGAGTCCCCTACAACTGGTTTAAATGCATCTAAGGTCAGAAAACATTGTAATTTTCTCAGAATATACATTTAATATTAGAGTCATTTGCCAATTATTTCTAAACGGTTCGTTCCAAGCAAGTTCGGAGCAAACCCCTCCCTTCCATTAGCCTACTCTGCTCTGATTGGTCAGCTGGCCAAGCCTGCTGTGATTGGCACAGAGAGGAGTCCTTGCAGTGTTGCCAGATGTACGATAATTATCATATTTGTACGATAATTTAGACCTCTGTACGATGTACGATCAATAATGAAAAAAATTCCATAATGTACAATCATTTCAGAATTTTGTGAAACTTCAAATGGTGGTCGTTGTAATCATAGGGCTTCTTCTATACTAATTCATCTAGCTGTGGATCCTACGTCCACCGTGCCCTGCTTTTAAACAAGCACTATGTTGCGGTGATGCGGACCATGACGGCATCAAATCTGTACCGCAAACGGACCCCCTCTACATCTGGCAACACACAGGCTTCTGATAACTGCGACTCAGAGGTGGAGTTTGGCCTTCCCACTTACGTACGCCTAGTTATTTATCTATTGCCGGAAGGGCAGAAATCGGCCCAAAATCAGCCCGATTATCTTATGGTGTGTACCCAGCATTAACCCTATAACTGCCGGTGCAGCAAAATAAACAGCAATTTCACAATGATTATAAAGTCTGTGCGCTACACTACATTCTTTATTATTAAACAAAGTAATTAGAACAAC